GAGCAGAAAAAGTGCATGTCAATTAAATATGCTCAGTTCGCTCCACTCTGATGGTCACCTGTTCCAGCCAGATACCTTCTTTCTAGGCGTTCAAAGTCGGAAACTGGCTGAGTGAACTGGGCGCTTAAAAGGGGGAATCTTCAGTTGTTTAAGACTAACGCTGCACACGCTGATTCTACTAGCATGGATGCTAATGATCGTAAACATAAAAGAGGGCTTGCTTCGTCTCGTGCGCTAACGCCGCAAAGCACTATGGGATTAGTAGTCTTATCTAGGCCCGGCAGGCCAGTTTTAATATTATATATTTGATATTTGATTTCGCGGGGCAAATAAAAATAGACCAAGGGCTTGAGTTTGACAACCGTGGCCTAAAAAATGGTACCTAGACACGCTAACAAAACAAATGTTCACTTGAGTTTAGCTTGATGTTAAACTAGATGAAGAATGGACCAGACTTCACGTAACGTCTGGACTGAATTGAACATAAAACATTTTACTTGACTATGAAGAACGCTTCTACTCATATTTCTATAACATTGCATAAATAACAACGAAAGAATAAGATAAAACTGTTACTTACAGATTGTGACCGGTCCATCCCACTCTGCGCTCTGATCTGTTCCGTAACATAAGGAGCCAAATGATTGGCTGAAAGCGAACAGCCCTGGCAGAATCATATATTTGATTGACAGATTCATTAGCCAATGGTGACGTTTGTTGACCTGCGACGTTAGGAGAGTCTCAAAATTCAGCACACCGATTTCTCTCACGAATGCAGGAAGGTTCACAAATGAGAAGCATTTCGTGAATGCACCCAGGGACGAAATTTTGATTTCAGAAGTGGGGGGGACACAGCAGGCTTGTGCGGATTTGGGGTGGGGGTGTTATGTAAAGACCCTTTGACACGTCACATGCCCATCTCAATAATTTTTCCATCCTCAATATGTATATATATATATATATATATATATATATATATATATATATATATATATCAAAGTTAAAAAATGTACAACTCTATTATCATTAATATTTATTATCATTATTGAAGTGCAGTTTTGGCTGTTGACAATGGATAGGCCATTGTATTTATTGTTTTGGGTCTTTTTTTATTGTTTTTGGTGCAACATTTTCTAACAGGGAGTGAGATTCTTTTTTTTATTTAATTTTTGTTTGTTATTTTTATTCATTTAGAAGTTCTGGTTCTGGACATTTCAATGTTAAATGAAGGTTTATTTGTTGCATTTTAAAGGGTGTACTTGCATTATTATGATATATTAACATTATATTAGTGGTTATTTTGGTCTAGATAATGTTGACAATGATATCGTTTATCATCAACAATTTGTTGGACAAAATATCGTCCAGCAAAATTTGTTACTTTCCCAGGCCTAGTCAAAAGTATAAAAAGTATTTATACATAAACGGTCCCTCCTGAGATCTGGCCGTTAGTTCATTTGCTGTGTTAGAGGACATGCTGAACTAATGTTTTACACATGATCATCACCCTAACATTTGTCACAATGATCAATTTTATGTCTATCGTATCTTCATTATTTCAACCTCACCTGTGAGCCTCCAGCCTCTGCTCCATCTCCTCCAGGCTCTCGTCCTCCATCTCCTACAGCCTCTCCTGCTGTACCTTCACCGGTCTCTCCTCCTGCATCTCTGTAACTCACCTGAAAAAAAGATGCATGAACTATAAACAGTGGGAGATTTTGGAATGGAACAAACAGAAATATTTACAGGATGGTTCTAGTATGATTCACAATTATTATTAATATAATGTGTAAATTATTCATTACCAATTTGAGTGTATAAAAACATATTAAATATGTTTTTCCCTTAAAAGTGTTTAAACAGTTGTTGCATTTCAACACACAAAAAATAAATGGAAAAAATATGATAAATCTAATGAAAAGAGTACATCTTTGACATTAAGCTTAAAAAAATCTGTTGACGATGATGATACTGTTCATTTTTCAGAGCTTTTTAATGTGAACATATACATTGCAATAGATAAGTTTACAATAAAGTTAAATGATAAAAGTTTTGAAGTTACACTTCTACTACTACTACTACTAGTAATAATAATCATGATGATAATAGTAATAATAATAATAAATAATAATAATTATAATAATACGAATACATTGTGTCTGAGGAGTCAGTTATGTGGAGGAGATTAGTTTGTAAAAGTTAGTTTTGAGTATGTTTGTGAAGGAGGAGGTGAGTCTGAGCTTAATGCAGCGGTGTCACATGTTCCAACTTACGTTTTGACTTTGAAAGAAGTCTCTTATATCCACTTTCGTTTCTTGACATGCTGCCGCCTGGCTGTGCATAACTACCAAAGACTCACAAATGAACACTTATTCAAATGTTATATAATGGAAGCTGAGCTGAGCTCTGATATTACACAGCGTCTAGTTGACGATGTGACTCAGTACCGGTGTTCCCTAGCGGCTCCAAACTAGCAAAACAACGTGAGCACGTTCTGTTTACAACTTGGAGTGACAGCAGCAACAGCCAATAATACGTTAGCAAGTATCAGCAGAGCCAATAGATTAGCTTTTGGGTGGGTCTAATAGGAAACCGGTTTCCGTTTCGGTCCTAGTGCTCAATCAAATCCATTTAATGGAGCGTAATATTGTTTTTGGACGGAAAAAAGTGAAGGGGACCGAAACTGCCTTTTGAAAAAGTGGGGGGGACATGTCCCACCCGTCCCCCCCCAAAATTACGTCCCAGAATGCACCACACAGATTTCACTCACAAACGCAGAAAGGTTCACAAATGAGAAGCTGTTCGTAAATGCACATTCAGGAATTCGTATAATATATGAGTTTATATTACAAGTGTTCTTACAAATTGTATTTGTGAACCACAGAGTGTGAACTTCAGAATTAGCGTGTGCATTTGTGGAAAATGTTGCGTGACTTATTTTTTCACATTATATTTATGAGTCAAAGAGTGTGAATTTCCGAATGAGCGTGTGCATTTGTGTTCCTCCGAATTATATTTGTGAAACACAGAGTGTGGATTTCCGAATGAACATGTGCATTTCTGGAAAACGTTGTGTGACTTAATTCTTATTGAGACTGTTCTGGCCTCATAGAACCGTGTGTACTTTCACATAGAAGACCTTCAATCATATTTATTTTAATCGATCGGGTTTCATGTTGTGTTGGCCCACATTTTGCAAATCTTCTGGAGAGACTTTCCATAGACTTAAGGATGTTTCCATGGGAATTTTCAAGAATTATTCCAGAAGCACATTTGCACTCATGTCATAGTCTCCACTTCACATCCCAAAGGTGTTCTAGTCCAGCCTAGTTCCTTCAAATCAAATTCATCCAGTCATTTATTTACTGGAAGATGTGAGTGTGTTGATTTAGCAAGGTTCCCCAATACTTTTAGCAATGAAGTGTATAATTTACATAAATGAAAACAAATCATTTATTACTGCAGGTAACATAAAGGAAGAATAAGAAGAAAATATCATTTCTATAGCGCCTCTCAACATAAAAATCACGAGGCCCTTCACATAAACAAAAAAAAAAGTAAAAATATAAAAAAAGCATTTAGAAAATGTTTAAAAATATATTTAAAATGAGCAAAAATAAGCAATTGCGATTTAAAAGAAAAAATGTTAAGAAAGAGAGAGAATGAATTGGAAAGAGGGAAATCAGTGGATCCTGAGGAAGGTGGAATAGGTGGGGAGAGCAGAATAAAGAGAGAGTGGTGAAGAAGTTCATACAAAAGCCAGCTTGAACAAGTGAGTCTTCAGCTGCTTTTTGAAGGAGACCACTGAGTCCACTGATCTCAGGCTCAGGGGGAGATAGTTCCAGAGTCTGGGGGCCACAGCAGCAAATGATCTGTCACCTTTGGTCTTTAGCCTGGTGCGCTGCACAACCAGTAGGCTTTGATCACTGGACCTCAGGGACCTGCTGGGGGTGTAGGGACTAAGAAGATCACCAATGTAAGATGGTGCTTGTCCATGTAAGGCCCTATAGACCAGAACCAGGATCTTGAAATGAACCCTGAAGTTGACTGGCAGCCAGTGAAGCTGGAGGAGAAGCGGGGTGATGTGGGTGTGTTTGGAGGACTTGGTCAGAAGCCAAGCACAGGCATTCTGAACCACCTGTAGATGGTTCAGGTAGGTTCTGCTCAGACACGTGAAAATAGAGTTACAGTAGTCTAAGCGTGAGGAGATGAAGGTGTGGAGAACTGTCTCAAGTTCAGAGCGAGACAGAATGGGACTCAGCTTAGCAATGTTCCTGAGACGGAAGAAGGAAGAGCGAACAAGAGAACTGACATGAGAATCCAGGGTGAGATCTGGGTCAAAGGTCATGCCAAGATTCCTGACAGAAGGTTTGGTGTGGGAAGCAAGCTGCCCAAGAGAGTCTCTGACTTTGGGAACCAGCTTGTCTGGGGCACAGATGAGGATCTCAGTCTCATCTTCATTCAGCTGAAGAAAGCTCCCAGCCATCCGGGTTTTGATAGAGTCTAAGCAGGTGTGTAACAGCTGCAGCTTAGACATATCATGGGGCTTAAAGGAGATGTACAGTTGGATGTCATCTGCATAAAGATGGTATGATATTCCTTTGAAGGAGCTCAGGATGTGCTGAAGAGGAAGCAGATAGAGGAGGAAGAGCAGAGGCCCCAGCACAGAACCTTGTGGGACACCATGGTTAAGAGAGGTGGTGGAGGACCTAAACTTGGCGACGGCCACAGAAAAGGAGCGCTCAGAGAGATAAGAGGAGAACCACTCCAGAGCTTCAAAGCAGGAACCTCATTGGATTTATAGAGTTTCAACTTTGGAGATGTAATTTTTAACATGGAGTTGAGTATTTTTTAAAGTCACCATGAGGTTAACATATGTGTTTGTTAATTTTACTTGGGTGTTAACTGGCAGATGCCTTTAAAAGTGTTTGTTCTATTTGAATGAAAAAAAAAACATTTTCAATGACCTGACAGGTTTCTTTCATATACCCGCACAACAGCAGGAATACCTGCCCCCATCTACTTTGGAGCCATAATTGACACAACCTGCCTGAAATGGGGAAACAACACATGTGGAGGAAAAGGTGCTTGCAGAATATACAACACCTCAGCTTACAGGTAATCTGAACAGGGTCTGTTTTCTTCTGCACCAGTTGGATAGAGAGATTTCAAGAAATTAGATCCCTTTTAATGATATTTATGATTGACTCAATGATTTTCTTGTCAGATTTCAAGTTTTATCACAAAATAGAATAATAAAGCAATGAATTTTAATGTATTCAACCTCAGATGAAGACACTCATGATGGCAGGGTAATTCTCTCAAACACTACTTTCTGTTGCAGGGTATTTTACTTGGGTCTCACGCTTGGACTAAGGGCCGTTTCTTTTTTCTTTTGCATTTGGGGGTTTTCTTTACTCAAAAAACACATTAAAATGGAGGAGAAAAATGCTCTGACCATTGGGAATGGCGAGCTGGAGTCCTTGAGGAAAGAAGAGAACAGCTCCATAGACTGTGAGCCATTTATATTGACTTCAGGCTACAGTGCTGACAGGGAAACCCACCTGTAAGCCTCAACATGTCCTCTTGTATTTGGTAAAAGGAATATGCCTCACGTGTTGAGATAGGCACTGATTTATATTTGTATAGAAGAGAGGAGCTGTCTAAAAACATATTTTATAGAAAAGTCTTTTTGTGTTTGTGTTCAGCGATTTTTAACGGACTTATGATGAGAAACAAACAGAATGTAATTGTATAAACTTTCTGTAGAAACCATTGCTTTTATTTTGAAATGTGAATGTTAAATTTAACATATATTCAGCAGCCAGATGAAGCCACCTGTGATTATGATACAACTGTCCACTCGTTCACCATTTTGACACTATAGTATCAATAATAGGAAAATACTGCTAATGACAATGTGCCTCGACTCCTCCGGTTAGTGTTGGACCATTTCAGCGATTTTCATCTACTATCGAGTTCACTCGAAACACAGTGTTATCCAAAATAATTTTGTCAACACATAAAAAAATGTGTGTCTACACAAAATATGAATGAATCATTGGCACGTGTCACTGCTGCCTTCTTGTGTAACCACCATTGCTGCAGTGACACGCATCAAAGTTTCATTAATCATGCTGTCATTGTAAACTGACCGTCAGTGACAGCATGATGAACACCTGGATTGATAATGTTAGACAGTGGCATCCAGTAGGGAGATAACATGTTAATCAATCAATCAAAATGTATTTATGAAGCGCTTTTCATGCAAATGCAGCTCAAAGCGCTTTACAATATTAAAAACAACCAGACAGCAGTCGGTTTCCCTCCCACACAGATTCACATACGAGATCCCCTTTGTGTCTCCCTCCTCCCACCCTCAATCCCGTCCCAAGCAGATGCAAACTTCCGCACGCACGCACACACACACACACACACACACACACACACACACACACACACACACACACACACACACACACACACACACACACACACACACACACACGGAATAGAGAAAGGGCAGCTGGCTGAGTGCAGATGTAGTAGATACAAAGAAGACGAAAATGCCATCAAAGGAGCCAACTGCACCGGGAGCACCAAGATTGGCAGCAATAGCCTTGGCAAGAGTAAACATGGGAAGCACCCAGTGTTGCCAACTCAGCGACTTTGCCACTGTTCCTAACGACTTTTTGACCCCCCTCAAGGACTTCTTTTCCAAAAAGCGCCTAGTGACATATCTCAGGACCCGTTGCTACTTTCTGTAGAACTTTCTTGTAGATATTCCCTACAGATTAGCAACGAAAGAGAATGATAATCTGCACATGTGCACGAGGACTGACCAATCACAAACCGTTTTCGGCTGGGCTGATTCGCGGAAGACAAAGGTACAGCTGCAGAGCTGGAGACCGCCGATGTACGTCTGCTGCTGCTGCAGGCTCACGCCTCTACTAGAGACGGCGCAGGTGTCAACCTGCCATCTCTGGCTCTGCAGCTGTCAGACACTTTGGCTTTTCCTGCATTTGGCAAATGAAGTCAACGGGAGTTTCAACTACCGTCCCGTTTACACACGCAGCTCTGTGGCTCATCTGAATTTCCTTCAGTGACACAGGGATGGTTATACTATGAGACACCCGCTCCCTTTTGCTTGGTGCGCCTTTATTATCACAATGGAGAGAATACACAACAGAGGTGTAAAAAAACAGCTTTTTAGGAAAATGTCTGTGAGAATGAGGAGAGCAGGAGGTCTGAGTTATATCCTACAACAGAACAGTTTGGATCACCACACCATATCTGTCTTAATGTGACTTTATTGATACTTTTGGAATTCATTGTACATATCAAAGCAATTTGGGCCATTTTAATCATACTAATTAATAACTTTAACACATAACATAGTTTGTGTTATTTTCCTCCCTTTTAGTCATATATATATCCCATGCTATGGGGAAAATGAACGCCAATGTGTAATATGTAAATTAGCACGTGACGTCATCTGGCGACTTTTGGGGGGAACTTCAGCTACTTTCAGTCAAAAACAGTTGGCAACACTGGAAGCACCCCGGCCGCCACATTCCACCGCTGCCCCCGGGGCAGCTGGCCCCCACACAGAAACATTAGTTTACTAATGAGACTAAGATGAAAGTTAAGAAACAAATCAAACATAAACAGCTGATAAATAAAAATCTAAATAAAACACAGTGATAAAAGATGACCAAGTAGAAACATAATTAAATTTATAAAATATTGTACAACAAAGTATTAAGACTGGTTAAAACTAATAGTTATTACAAGTTAAAATAAATATGTAGGAAAATATGTGTTATTTAATTAAAAAGAGTAAGTAATAAAACATTGATAATATATATATATAAGGTAAAAACAGGCTAAAATAGATCAAAATCACTTAAAAGCTATACTAAAAAGGTGAGTCTTGAGCCTGGCCTTAAAAACAAGAACACTCTCTAAGGCCCTGAGGTCCTCGGGCAGACTGCTCCAGAGGCGAGGGCCATAAAACTGGAAGGATGCCTCACCTTGGTAGTGTGTCCTGACTTTTGGAATGATGAGGAGATGGCTGCCAGAGGAGCGCAGGGACCGCGAAGGCTCGTATTTATGAAGCAGTTCTGAGAGATAAGAAGGCCCAAGACCATTAAGACATTTAAAAACCATTAAAAGAACCTTAAAATCAATCCTGAAACGTACAAGAAGCCAATGCAGCTTGTTTAAGAGTGGTGTAATGTGCTCCTGCCTCCTGGTCTTAGTCAGGACACAAGCTGCTGAATTTTGTAGGAGTTGTAAACCTGAGGTACTCTTTTTGGGAATACCAGAAAGCATCAGCGTCTCTGTATCGGCCAGAGAGAGAAAGGGGCAGACTCTGGCGATGTTTTTCAGGTGATAAAACCAATTTTTGTAATATTCTTAATGTGGGGAATAAAAGTTAGCCCAGAGTCAAAAATAACACCCAGGTTAATCACTTGAGAAGACGAATGAATATTTAGTGACTGTAGCTGTGGAAAAAGTTTCTCTCTCTGGGTCTCAGGACCGACGACTAAAACTTCGGTTTTGTCCCGGTTAAGCTGGAGAAAGTTTTCTGACATCCAGGATTCGATATCCAAAATACAATTAAAAAGGGCATCCAATGGTCTTGCGTCATCGGGAGACACAGAAATGTACAACTGTGTATCATCTGCATAACTGTGAAATTGCACTCTGTGTCGTCCAATGACGCCACCAAGTGGAAGCATATACCGATTAAAAAGCACTGGGCCTAAAATCGAACCCTGGGGCACACCACAAGTAATGTCACAAGTCTTGGAACAGAAGGTATCTAGAGTTCCCATAAAAGTCCTGTCTGTGAGATATGAAGTAAACCATTTATGGACAGCACCAGAGAGGCCGATGTGTTTTAACCGGTTTAAAAGAATGTTGTGGTCCACTGTGTCAAAGGCAGCGCTTAAATCCAGTAGAAATAGAACCGTCACTTTCTGTGCATCATAATTTATTCTTACGTCGTTCAAGACTCTTAACAGGGCCGTCTCAGTGCTGTGGTTTACTCTAAAACCAGACTGAAATTTCTCTAGGACATTATGTGCAATAAAAAAAATCATTAAGCTGTATTAAAACAAGCTTTTCTAAAATTTTACTTGAGAATGGTAAGTTAGATATTGGTCTGAAGTTGTTAAAATCACTAAAATCTAAATTTTTCTTCTTCAACAGGGGCCTCACCACTGCCCCTTTAAAGGCAGCAGGAAAGACCTCTGTTTGAAGAGAACAGTTTATCATGGTTAAAATCTCATCTCTAAAATATTCATAAAATGGCTTAAAAAACGAAGTAGGAACTGGATCTAAAAGACATGTGGTGGGCCTTACTGAAGAGAAAACCTTATCTAGAATTTCAGCCTCAACCGGGACAAAACTGTCTAGTGTTTCCTCTGGTAATGGTACACACTCAGCTTTCAATAAAACCATGTCACTGTGAGAGGATAAAATGTTGCATCTGATTGTGTGTACCTTCCCTCTGAAGTGGTCTGCAAGCTCCTCACAGAGAGAGTTTGATGGTGTTTCCTGAGATGCATCAGTGTTTTTGTTAAAAAACTTTATTGATAGTGGAAAACATGATTTTAGGATTATTGTTATTTTCTGAGATAATTTTGGAGAAGTATGCATACCTTGAGTTCCTTACTGCGTTGTTGTATGACTAGAGTTTCTCTGTATATCTGATAGTTTATAGTGATTTTGTTCTTCCTCCATTTTCTCTGCCACCCTGCAGTTCCTCTTTTGTGTTCTGAGAGATTTGTTCCTCCATGGTAATGTAAGTCTAGGCTGTATCTTTTTAATTTTTTGTGGGGTCAGACGGTCAAGGGTGGACTGAAGCCTGCTGTTAAAATCGTTCAGTATAAAATCACAGGGAGCAGGTAAAGTAATAGGAGGTATCCTTTCTAAGGTATCAATAAAACCTGCAGCCACTTCAGGGGTTAGATGACGTTTCCTGACAGTTCTCACAGAGGTCTCTTGCTGGGTGAAACCGGTGATATTAAAAAACATGCAGTAGTGGTCAGAGTCAGCCAAATCAACAACAGAGAGCACACAGGTAGACAGGTCATGCGTGATGACCAAGTCTTGGGTGTGCCCCCTGTTGTGAGTTGGCTGTGTGACGTGTTGGCTAAAATCCATATAATTAAGAATATTTTAAAAATTGGTCGACAAAGGGTCTAAAAGATTATCCATATGTAAATTAAAACCACCAGCTAAAATTATTTGTGTAAGTTTAATAAAAACTCTGAAAATTCTTCTATAAAATATGTGCTATGTTTTGGAGGTCTGTAAACTGTGACAGATAAAATTTGAGGAGTCCTAAAAACAGCTGCATTATATTCAAAAGTGCTAAAATTATCAAATAAAACAAGTTTGGCGGTAAGTGTTGCTGAGATTATAAAGGCAGTACCGCCTCCCTTTATGCTGCTCCTTGTAGAGTAAGTAAAATTAAAATTTGGTGGGGAAACCTCTGTGAGAACAACAAGAGCATCTGCACTCAGCCAAGTCTCTGTTAAAAATAAACCGTCCAGGTTTGATCTAAAATTAAATCATTAATAAAGATTTTATTCAGCAGAGAGCGGACATTTAAGAGTGCCATATTAAAGGTAACTGGAGAGTGTGTGTGTGTGTGTGCGTGCGTGCGTGTGTGTGTGTGTGTGTGTGTGTGTGTGTGTGTGTGTGTGTGTGTGTGTGTGTGTGTGTGTGTGTGTGTGTGTGTGTGTGTGTGTGTGTGTGTGTGTGTGTGTGTGTGTGTGTGTGTGTGTGTGAAAGTGGAACTACTGGTAAGTGTTTAAGATTACTGTGGTTGCGTTTGTTTGTTTTATGGTGATTTGGCTGCTCTCTGCTGGTAACAACAGGAATTAGTGTGCTGGTGTGAGGTCCGAGTCCAATATTTGAGTAACTTTTAAAATCATAGCTGGGGTCATAGGAGCAGGGACCAGCTGGACATCAGGGAGTAATTGAGAGGGAGGACGGGGTGGAAATGGTGGGGGTAGCAGCACATGGCGTTGTGGATAGTGGTGGTCGTGGACATGCCAAACTCATTGCCAGGGCACGGGTACCCTGTCTATTTAGATGGAGCCCATCTGCCCCAAACAGGTGCCTCCTGCCCCAGAAGATGTTAAAATTATCTATAAAACCAATGTTGTGCATCACGGTGGCAGAGGAGAGCCAAGTGTTCAAAGATAAAAGTCTACTAAAATGACCGGTAGGAGTGGGTCCAGAGATATAAACAGACACATGTGAATATTTTAAAAGGTTAAAAAGGTGGATAAAATCACACTTCAGAAGCTCAGATTGCTGCTTGTTGATGTCATTAGTTCCAGCATGGATAAAAACCCTACTCACATGGGGATGGAGAGCAAGGAGACCAGGGATTTTTGCAGCAATATCATTACCGTTGCTCCAGGGAAGGACAGAATGAGCGCTCCTCTCATACGTACGTTTCTGACGATTGGATCCCCGATGATGAGCGTGGTAGGCGTGTCAGCGTGCTGATCGCTGTTGCCGGAAATTCGCGCACGCTGAGGTCCAAGCATAGGAGCAACTTCAGGGCTACTGCAACATGTTGTCGGTATCGGAAGACGTGCTCCATGGGTCCGGGATGAAATGAAGAACTCCTCGGCGGGTTCTAGCTGTGATCCGGGGTTTGGCTGGAAGGCTGGAGGAGCTTGGCTGCTGCCTCATTGAGAGCTGAGATGACTCGAGCGGTGATCCTGAGGAGCGGTGGGGTCCGGGAGCTGTCAGAGGGGGAAGTCTTGATCCAGGGCTTTGAACCTGTTGGTCAGTTTCAGGCGGGAGGGAGGAGAGCGGTGGCAAACCCCCCATGCTCCCCTATTGCGGCTGGACGCAACTGTGGACCAGGCACCCGACACGACTGGAGTGGAGCTGGTCGGGGCTTTAGGCTTCGCCCCCTGCTGAAACCAGCGATCGCCCTCTGTAGCAGGGGAGGCATGGGCATTCTGAACCCCAAGTCCAATCAGCGACCCTATGGTGGATCCTCGCTCCGTAACCTCATCATGCTGGAGGGGAACCGTATCAGCTAGTTGGGCGCTAGTGGTGGCGGAGAAGGTCCGACCCAGGATAACAACAGAGTTGCTTCTTTTTTCCTGGGTCTGCTGAAGAGTTGTAATCCTCTGATCTAGTTCGAGGACTCTTCGAGTGAGGTTTAGACAGCTGTCACAGCCAGGGCTACAGGTGAGCGGAGGCATGGTGAGGGGGGAAGAGTTGTCAGGTACGTCCCACACACTACCGCTTAAGTAAAAACATGTAATAAAAAACAATTGATAATTAATTAAAACTGCACACCGGGCAGTGTTTTAAAAAAGCGGTATGTAATTACTGCGCCCAATGTCCAAGAGAAAGAGTAAAAAAAAAAAAAAATTCATTAAAATCAGATAAAAACCATGTTTTGTCAGGAGCCGGGCTGACGAGCCGCTTTACAAGCGTGATCCACACCCCACACCAGTAGTGGTATTTCCACGCACAAGTACAATATGATGAATACCATACAATGTGTAAAGTTGTTCCTATGCATGACACACGACACATTTAATCATTATGGACAGTAGGGTCAGGCAATTGGACGAATTATTCTACCATCCACTGTAGCCTGAGCCTTTCAAAAGTCATCTTTACAAGAGCTATTTGTTTACTTGCCCGTGAGTATGTTTGTTAATGACTTGTGCAGGTGCACATACATTTTAAAAGTTACGCACAGAGAACAATGGCGGTAACAACATCCATCAAGAAAAGTTTCCGATCAGAACACCTGAGCATTATCTCACACTTGTACATTCTCTGCATCTCGCTGTGGACAGGGCATGCCAGCATCAGTGTGCTGAAGAGGAGCTTGGAGTGCATTTGCAGATCAGAGAATTTTGCTAACTTCTGTTTATTTCATTTGGACACATTTTAAAATTTTGGCTGAGTGCAGATTTTAGCTTCTAGAACAATATTAAAAGTCAGGACTCTGTCCAAGGCAAAGTCCAGAACTTCTTGACAATAAACTTTTCAGCAAGGCTCTTAGACATTTGATTACAGACGAACAAGCAGATGACCAGTTTAGGTTTCTGGGGATCAGAAGGAATGTGCGTTCGACTGCAGCCTAGTTTAAGTGAAACCGCTTAAACGCATTGTTAATGTTACTGGGTATTCTGCTCAGCTTGTTCGTACTAAATATTAATTAAAAATTTATTTAGATATAATGGTATTGAAGGTTTATTTTAAAAAAGGAAAATGACTCGGAAAAATGGATCATGACACCACTGAATGCGAGCAAATGCAACCTCCTCACAGTGCATCTAAGTGCAGCAGTGATTCCATCCATTTCCTAATCAAACTCAAAATTAAGAAACACAGTTGTACTAAAAAAACATATTAAATAAAATACCACACTGGTGGGCACCTTAGGGCAACAAAGAAGAGGCTTCTTTTCGACACCATAACCGTGTGTAATGTTGTATATACGTGATCAAACAACATTAAACCGTTTTCTGCTGTATTTGGAACAACAGATGACTGCACACGTCATCCCAGCCTTCCTAGACATCTTCACTAAAGAAACAACTTCCACTTCTCGCTTCTTAATTTCTAAAGCCTGCTTTGCACACAGCGCCTACGGCTGCCTGACTGGGAACTGTCACCTCAGTAATGGCGGCTCAATTCCGGTTATTTAACCGAATTAGTCTATTCCCAGGCTATGCTCTTCCTCCGTTTTCTAATTTTGTGAGTTTCACCTGTATAGCAGACTGAAACTATCTGAAAACATTGCTGTTGTATAAGTTAAAGATCTTCGTCAAAATCAACCCAATGGTGTCATTTATTAACTCAAATTGAGGTGTAGTTTGATTTTACTTTATGCATCAGCTAAGTACAACAGTGAGAGAACATTTTAAACACATCGGTTGAGTTTGCTGGTTGGTTAAAAAAGCAATACAGGCACGGCTGCCATGCTGATTCTTAAAGGCTGCACCATTATTTCCTGTCCTGAAACAGCATTTATTTCTGTATGATGTCTTCTCCCCATCAGCTAAAAGGTGAAACTCAAGTTATAAATGAACATCTCTGTTATGTTATCGAGGCTTGCTGCTTCAAAACCTACCTCAGCTGCATGGTTGCTGTCATAGAGCTGCCATTGTGCCTCATAATTTGTTTTTAATGACTCAAATGCCCTTTACTGATAATTAGTATTGCATTTTCTGATTTTGTGTGGTTGTTTTATGTTTTATTATCTCGCCACTGTTGACTTGTTAAAGATTATAGAACAAGATGTTCTGTTTAAATCAGTGCGTAGGGTGCTGTTAAAGTTTATTAAAATAAATAAATAAATAAAAGAACGTCTATTTTTATTTAATGACTTTACTTAAAAACTCAAACTATATTTTAAGGAAATAAATATGATGAAGGCATTTATTAATTATTGCCAGAGCAGTGCATAATCATTTGTTTGATTTTTAGGTTTAGAAATATTCACCTCTTCATGAAGCAGACACTCTAGCTTGTAGGAACAGGAGGAGCATTATTGAAGACATTAAATGGAATAAAATGTATTTTGATTCAGCTAAATTATTCTTGAAACTATCAGTATTTCAGAGAGTTTTTGTTAACACTTAATAAAAAGACATTCCTATGTGTTTAATGCTGCGACACGTCGAAATATCTGCTGTGAACTGGATCTTTTGTTTCCAAACTGCTGAAAATGGTCAAACAATGTGGATCTGTGAGTGCATCTTTGATCATGTAAATCTCAGGTGTTTTTCAACATTATTAAGCAATCAAGCCCATAGAAACACTGCCACTTATTTTCAGGGTTTACATTGTTATCACAGGTACTGCTTCACTTTCATTACAAAACACACAATGTTTTATTGCATGCCACAAATTTTATGTATTTTTTAATATATGTATATACAAATGTTTTTCTGCTCAAACATGAAAAAAGAAAAATGACTAAACAATGCAACCGTTCTCCCTCGGGTTCAGAAACAGACCAAATGAAACAAAGAGAAGTGAAAAACAGAACCACAATCTTCACATCCCAGAGGTTTCATTCATCTTTTTTATTTTCAACACAGTGAAGCTTCTGTGGATGAAACACAGATGAGAGGTCTGGTATTAGGAAGGTGATCAAACTGCAAGTTTTATGTGGTTTTATGAGTTATTCACCTGCAGTTGATGGTGTTCTTTTAACAGTCTGTCGTACTCCTGGGCCAGACCTTTAGTTTGACTCCTCATTGCTTCAACTTCAGCTTGAGACTTTTTCACAGCTGCATACAGTCAAATGATGCCTCACTTGGTTAATGGCTGTATCCTCTCTTCTTAGTTTACTGAAATCTGTTAATTTAGCCACACAAATGACTGCTGACCTGCCTCTGCAGCCTTCAGCTGATCTTGCAGCTTTTCACCGTCCAGCTTCACCAGTTGTTGAGCTGCTGACTGGTATTTTTCCTCTTCCACAAGAGCCTAAATATAGAGGAAATGTGCTGGTTACCAAAAATATTGAATTCAATTCTAGTTTATTTATATAGCGCCAAATCACGACAAGAATCGTCTCAAGGCACTTCACATAGTAAACATTCCAATACAGGTCAGTTCATTAAGCCAATCAGAAAAAAGTTTCCTATATAAGGAACCCAGCAAATTGCATCAAGTCACTGACTAGTGTCGGAGACTTTACAGCAATCCTCATACTAAGCAAGGATTTTGCAACAGTGGAGAGGAAAATTCCCTTTTAAAAGGAAGAAACCTCTAGCCTGGTGAACTAGACCAAATTCTTGCTTTGCAAAGTTTGGTCTAGGCACGCTCCACTGGAACCTCTGCAGCCCCAACAGCATTCTGGCTGGCCAATCATAGCTCTCTAGAGGGGTTTCAAACACATAGAAAGCTGGGATTGGTTCATAATGGTGGGCCAATCATAGTGCTCTATTTGCTTAGTGAACAAATCATAGAGCTTTATCCGCTTTGTGGGCCAATCAGGGCATTCTATATGCCTGGTGGGTGGGATGATGCAACAGGGTGAAACAAGAGTATGTCACATTCTTTGTCCAGTGGAATGCGGAGATCATTTGAAAGACAACGGGAGAACCCGCCCCACAACCAAGAGCCGTCAATGGAGCGTGGCCAGACTAAATAATACATTTATTTAGTCTGGCTTGCCAGGCTAAGAAACCTCCAGAGGATCCTGGCTCAGTATAAGCAGCCATCCACCACGACTCACTGGAGATCGAAAAGACAGAGCAGACACATGCATACACCCATGGATGTAATTTTACTTTAGAGGTGGAGGGGACATTGGGGGGGGGGGATCTTTACAGTATGCTCTAATGGGAAACAGGCTTCAACACAAACGGTTGTTTTCCGCTTGGTGCTAGAGCACAACCAGTGTCAATTTAATGTAGCGTAATATTGTTTCTGGATGGTAAATAGTGCAGGGGTCAAAACTTGACTTTGGAAAAAGTGGGGGGGGGGGGGGGGGGGGCATGTCCCCCCTGTCCCCCCCCCAAAAAAATTTATGTCCATGCATACAGCAACACCAGCCCACACACACAACACACATCCACACACACAACATATATACCAAGTAATGTGTCTATGGTTACATTGTGATTTCTTAGTAAATATTGTATTTGGTGAGAGATAAACGTTATTGTATTTATCCTAGTGAATCTATAATTAAACGGGTAAACTAGTAGTAGCACATTCAATATCAAGGAAAGTAAAATCTTATTGTCAGGAGAGGGAGAAAGTTTAAGTGGTTAGCAGCAGTGTGCTAGACGACGGCCCCCTCCATGAGGACACCACAGCTCAGCAGAACATCATTGTAGCTTCTTCTGAGGAGAAAAACACTTGGAGAAAAAATAAAGTTAACCGCTGAAATAGCAGAAAATAATACAGTTAAAGAGCAAATTGTAGAAGAAAGTAGTAGAGTGTGGAGAGTGGTCAGTATGTCTTTCAGCAGTCACAGCCTATAGCAGCATAACTACAGAGATAACTCTGGATAACCTAGCCTTTTAGATGGAGGCATGTTGGAAGCAGGGCAAGGGAGAGTTGTCTTTAGCGACTGTACACTCCACCTCCCTCTACTCCCCCACTTGTCCAGATCTAGGCTAACATCAGATTTTAACAATAGGGCCTGTCAAATAAAAATGTTTTAAGCCTAGTCTTAAAAGTAGACAAGGTGTCGGCCTCACGGACTAAAGCTGGGAGTTGGTTCCACAAGAGAGGAGCCTGATAGCTAAAATATCTGCCTCCCATCCCATGTTTAGATATTCTGGGAACCACCAGTAAACCTGCAGTCTGAGAGTGAAGTGCTCAGTTAGGAACACATGGAACAATCAGGTCACTGATGTATGATGGAGCTTGATTATTAAGAGCTTTATATGCAAGGAGGATCTTAAATTCTATTCTGAATCTATCAGGCAGCCACTGTAGGGAAGCTAAGACGGGAGGGATATGATCTCTCTTTTTAATTCTCATCAGAGCTCTACCTGCAGCATTTTGGACAAGATGAAGACTTTTAACTACATTCCGTGGACTTCCTGAGAGAATAGAATAGAATAGAATAGAATATCCTTTATTGTCACTGTACACACTCGTACAACGAAATTTGGAAGCCACTCCCGGGTGCAAGTTGAAAGAAATACATAACACTTAACAATTAAAATTCAATCAGGACAAATACTTCCTGTAAGAAATACATAACAATACAATAATTAAAATTCAGTCTGGACAAATCCTTCCTTCATAAATTGTATCAAATTAGAACCATGCAGCTTGTCTGGTTCCATCAGGGCTACACCTGCAAACATTAGATAAAATAAGAACATGTCCTTTCAAATTAGCACGTTCTTTTTGTTGTTAACTGCCATGATAGCCCTGGGAAAAAAAACTGTATCTGAAGCGGTTTGTCCTGGCCCTCTGGGATCTGTACAGACGACCCGATGGCAACAGCTGAAACAAGTTGTTCCCAGGATGGAACTTGTCCTTAATGATGTTTAAAGCCCTGCTGAGATAACGGGGGTATGCTAAGTCCTCCAGGCTGGGCAGCGAGCAGCCAATGATCCTCTGGGCTGAATGTATAACCCTCTGAAGCACTCTCCTGTCTGCAGCAGTGCACCCTGCATACCAAATAGTTATCCCGAATGCTAGGATGCTCTCAATAGAGCTCCGGGAGTTGACGTCACGTTTCCCGGCATGCAACAGTTCAAATCGAAATGGCGCCATTTGGCAGGCAGAAGACGGCAGCTGGACTATTTGTTATTGTCAGAAAACTCAATCAAACGGGAAATATGGTAGATTCCTGTTGTGCCCCAGGATGCAGAACAGATGCGGACAACATAAGGAATGAGTCATCTACAGGATTCCCCAAGATCCGGAGTGCCGCAAACGTTGGATCATTGTAATAAAACGCTCTAGTGACCGGGCTAAAATGAAACTGTGGGATCCCGAGAGTAAAGGTTTTCGCTTATGCAGCGACCACTTCATATCAGGTACTTAAACCAACGTTTCTTCAACTGTGTGTGGTATTTATTTTAAATGCTTTTATTACGATTCTTAGTGGGCTTCCTAAACTTATTTTGGCGTGGCTTTTTCTGTCTTATTACTCATAGCAACAAGTGAACATCACGTAAAACGTTGCCTCGTGAGTTCTGCGTGCTGCCGTTTACTCGTTTTATGAGCACAGCAATTAACCGGCTAAGCTGTATTTAATTTTTAATCAATCAATCAATCAATCAATCAATCAATCAATCAATCAATCAAAGCTGTATTTATAGCTTTATTTATTTAAGCAATGGTTGATCAATTGTCAGATCACACATAAAAAGCACTTTGGATTGCTATTATCTGTCTCACCGAGACAGATCTCAGATAGATCCCGAGACGCTCCTGCCTGACATATTTAATTTATTCACGGAAAAAAAATCAAACTAGTGATTTCTCTTGGCGTTCAGTTTATACATTCAAACAGCACAGCACTCTATTTAAACTACTTACATGTAAATCTGTTATTTGTCCATCCATCCATCCATTTTGATCCGCTTATCCGGAGTCGGGCTGCGGGAGCATGTAGCGTTGAGAGGCCCTGACTTCCCTCTCCCCAGCCGCCGGAGCCAGCTCCTCCGGGTAAATCCCAAGGGGTTCCCCGGCCAGGTCCAGTAAGAAGTCAGCTCCGACAGCTTCTGGCGTCGGAGCGGGCAGTAGCGTCGAGAGGCCCAGACCTCTCCCCAGCTCCTCCGGCCGGGGGAATCCCAAGGGGTTCCCCGGCCAGGTCCGGTAAGAAGTCCGCTCCGACAGCTTCTGGCGTTTTAAAAAAGTATCCCAGGGGCACGGTAAAGGTCGGAGATGTTTAGTCTATTTAATTTCTGACTATATAAAACAATTTCTTCGGTTTTAAAGAGTGAAGTAAACTCCGACAAAGTAAAATCCAAGCGGATCCCGTTCACGTTCATGGTTACATCCGTGTTTGTTTAACTTTTTTTTTCCTGCCAAAATGGCGTCTACTAACTGAGAGTCACGTGGGGTCCGGAGCTCTATAGCGGCTCTGTAGAATGTCACCAGCAGTCTCTCCTCCAGGTTGTTCCTCCTGAGTACCCTCAGAAAGTGGAGACGCTGCTGAGCCTTTTTTGATACTGCCGTGGTGTTAGCAGACCAGGAGAGGTCATCAGAGACAACGACACCCAGAAACCTCATGCAGTGAACTATTTCCACACAGTCCCCCCGGATGCAGAGAGGTTCTGGATCAGCTTTGTTCCTTCTGAAATCAAAGATGAGTTCTTTGGTTTTTTTGGTGTTCAAAAGGAGGTTATTTTCTGAACACCAGTTAGTCAGTATGTTGACCTCATCTCTGTAGTTTCACTCATCCCCTCCAGAGATGAGCCCAACCACGGTGGTGTCGTCCGCAAACTTTGTGAAGGTGTTGGAGAGATGGATCGGAACACAGTCCCATGTATAAAGTGTGAACAGGAAATGACTCAGTACACATCCCTGAGGAGAACCAGTACTGAGGATGATGTTGCTGGACTGATGAGGGCCAAGTCTTACAGACTGTGGTCTGTTTGTGAGAAAATCCTTGATCCAGCGGCAGATACAGTTGGAAAATCCCAAATGAGCCAATTTCTGGAGCAGGATCTCCGGAATGATGTGGTTAAATTCTGAGCTGAAGTCTAAGAAAAGCATTCTCACATAGCTTCCCTGGTTCTCCAGATGATCCAGCGCAGTGTGAAGTGCTATGTTGATAGCATCGTCTGTAGATCGATTAGCCATGTAGGCAAACTGATGTGGATCTAGGGTAGGTGGCAAACTACCCCTGATGTGCTGGCAGACCAGTTTTTCAAAGCACTTCATCACAATAGGAGTGAGTGCGATCGGCCTGTAGTCGTTCCGAGTGTCCACTGCTGTCTTCTTAGCAATGGGAATTATAGTGGCGGTTTTGAGGCAGGGAGGAACGATGCATAGTGACAAGGACCTATTGAAGATGTTAGTGAAAACCCTCGCCAGTTGGTCTGCACAAGCGCTGAGAACTTTCCCTTGGATTCCATCTGGGCATGCTGCCTTCCTGGGATTAACTGATTTTAAAACGCGTCTCACTTGGTCCTCCTGCATAGTCAGTGTGCTGTTGTTTGGGACTGGTGGGGGTGGTATGGCCACCGCAGGCCTGGTTGTCTCAAAACGGGGAAAAAATGGTTTAAGTCCTCGGCCAGTAGTCTGTTGTCCTTTGATGTTTCCTGTTTCCTGCCTCTGTAATTGGTGATGAGAGTAATGAATTACAGTAATTCAGTCTTGATGTAATAAATGCATGAACTAGTTTTTCAGCATCCCTCCTGGAAAGGATACTTTCTAATCTTAGCAATATTCCGAAGGTGGAAAAAGGAAATCCTACAAACATGTTTAATGTGGGATTTGAATGACATGTCCTGGTCAAAGATAACACCAAGGTTCTTTACTTTGTTCTCGGAGACTAATTTCATGCCATTCAGGTCAGGTGATTGACTAAGCAGTTTCCTTTTCTGAATTTTAGATCCAACGATGAGAACTTCAGTTTTGTCTTGATTTTAAAGCAAAAAGTTTAGAGTCATACAATTTTTTGTCTTCAAGACAAGCCCGTAATCCTACTAACCGAACAGGTTCATCAGGGTAAATGGAAAGATATAACTGAGCATAACAGTGGAAGTTTATCCCATGCTGTCTAATGAGTTTACCAATTGGGAGCATATATGTAGTTAAAAGAATTGGTCCAAGCATTGAACTCTGTGGCACTCCACAAGTAATCCTAGAGTATGAAGAAGATTTGTCATGTACATTTACAAAATAAAATTTATCAGACAGGTAGGATTTATACCAGCCTTGTGCTGTTCCTTTGATCCCTACAACATGTTCAAGCCTTTCTAAAGGAACATTTTGATCAACTGTGTCAAAGGCAGCGCTGAGATCTAACAAGACTAGAACAGACACAAGATTCTTATCTGAGGCCATGAGAATATCATTCGTAACTTTCACTAATGCAGTTTCAGCGTGGTGATACTCTATAAAACCAGAATGAAATTCCTCAAACAGATTGTTACGGCTACCAGCCTGGCCATTGGCATGCAGGAGCCATGATCACCCAGCCCCAGTGATCAGCCTGACACCGGCCCTCCTCCTCTCTACCAGGATGCTGAGGAGCACAGCTGATCTGAATCCTGCTGATGACCAACACCTGGATAAAAAGGCTGTGCCTTCAGCAGTCTGGGAGGCAGCAGTGCAGGGGTTCTGCTGTCCTCCAGGCCTCATTTTGTTTTTAACCCCTTCGAGTTGAAGAGTTTTAACTTTTATAGTTTTAACTCCGAGGGATCCAGAGGAATCGTTTTCAATGTTAAATCTGTAATACAATTTTACAGACTTTGGTTTTAAAACACCTTCTGTTCCGGTAAAAATTTAAGTTTTAACCAGGTGTTTATAATGTTGGTAACTGCTCTTTTAATGTTAACCTTTTTGAGAGTGTTTTTGTTTTGCATTATCTTAATAATGCTTGCCATCTGTTTGCACTTGTTTTTAGAACCTTCTATAACAATTAAACCCATTTTAACTCCACTGTCGCATTTCTTATGTTGCCCCCTTCACATTTTAACATCTCCCCTCCTGTCGGGGACGTAACACAGATCATTAGTGTTTAAATGCTCACATAAGTGGATGGCCCATTCATGGGTTCTGGAGTGGAGGGTCCATCGGATTGTTGAACCTCAGATTCAGGAGGACCAATGTGGTTTTTGTCCTGGCCGTGGAACACTGGACCAGCTCTATACCCTTAGGGGGATCCTGGAGGGTGTGTGGGAATTGACCCAACTAGTCTACATGTGTTTTGTGGATTTGGAGAAGATGTTTGCCCACGTCCCTCGGGGGGCCCTGTGGGGGGCCCTGTGGGGGGCCCTGTGGGGGGTACTCCGGGAGTATGGGGTACCAGGCCCTCTGATGCGGGCTGATAGGTCCCTGTGTGACCAGTGTCAGACCTTGGTCCGCATTGCCGGCAGTAAGTCGGGCTCGTTCCCAGTGAGAGTTGGACTCCGCCAAGGCTGCCCTTTGTCACCGATTCTGTTCATAACCTTTATGAACAGGATTTCTAGGCGCAGCCAAGGTGTGGAGGGCATCCGTTTTGGTGGCCTGAGGATCAGGTCTCTGCTTTTTGCAGATGATGTGGTCCTGTTGGCTTCATCAGAACGTGATCTTCAGCTTTCGCTGGAGCGGTTCGCAGCTGAGTGTGAAGCAGCTGGGATGAGAATCAGCTCCTTTAAATCCGAGACTATGGTCTTGATTCTGGTCTTGATTCGGAAAAGGGTAGAATGCCTTCTCCGGGTCAGGGATGAGGTCCTGCCCCAAGTAGAGGAGTTTAAGTATCTCAGGGTCTTGTTCATGAGTGAGGGAAAACTGGAGCGTGAGATTGATAGGCGGATTGGTGCTGCGTCTGCAGTGATACGGTGTTGTACTGGTTTGTCGTGGTGAAGAGAGAGCTGAGTCAGAAGATGAAGCTCTCGATTTACCGGTCCTACCCTCACCTATGGTCATGAGCTTTGGGTAGTGACTGAAAGAATGAGATTGCGGATACAAGCGGCCGAAATGAGTTTTCTCCGAAGTGTGGCTGGGCTCTCCCTTAGAGATAGGGTGAGAAGCTCGGTCATTCGGGAGGGGCTCGGAGTAGACCCACTGCTCTTCCACATCGAGAGGAGCCAGGTGAGATGGCTCGGGCATCTGGTCAGAATGTCTCCTGGACGCCTCCCTGGTGAGGTTTTCCAGGCACGTCCAACTGGGAGGAGACCTAAAGGTAGACCAAGGACACGGTGGGGGGACTATGTCTCTCACCTGGCCAGGGAACGCCTTGAGATTTCCCCGGAGGAGCTGGCCCAAGTAGCTGGCGAGAGGGAAGTCTGGGCCTCTCGCCTTAGGCTACTGCCCCCGCGACCTGACTTCGGATAAGCGGATGAAAATGAATGGATGGATGGATGATTGGATGGCCACCATTTTCTCAAGGACTTTGTATAAAAATAGAAGGTTAGATATTGATCTATAATTCATTGGGTCATCTGGATCCAGAGAGGGCTTCTTAAATAAAGGTTAGATTTCAGCAACCTTAAAATCCTGTGGTACGTATCCATTTACTAAGAATAGATTGATTATATCTAGGTATATCATGTTGCTTTTACAGCAGAAGACACAAAGCATGCAACTTTCACATTTAAAAAGATTTTTGCTTTGTGCATCTTACAATTAAAAGTAGTAGTAGTGAAAGAAATACAAAAAAAAGAATTGCTTATTTTCTTTTGATGCAGAAATAAAGGGTTGCATTTGTAAATATTAGTGTGCATCTCTAATTCTCACATTTCTGAGCACCTGATTTTCCTCTTGCTGCTTTTCTGCTGTTTTCAAAGCCTTTTCCATCTGTATCTGAAGACCTGAGCTGGTCTCAAGAGCGACAGCAACCTGGGTGAGCAAAGTGACGACTCGCCGCATGATGCTGTAGAACAACAAACATAAAATGTGAAGAAAAACAGGATAATGTCAAAAATTACTTCATATTTGGCCTTGTAAGAATATATTTGTGTGTGTGTGTGTGTGTGTGTGTGTGTGTGTGTGTGTGTGTGTGTGTGTGTGTGTGTGTGTGTGTGTGTGTGTGTGTGTGTGTGTGTGTGTGTGTGTGTGTGTGTGTGTAGAATGTCAACAACACTAACAGCCACAGAAAGAGAGAGAAGCCACATATGTAAAGGTTCCTCTGAGCCCTGAACAGCTTCATGTGGACATGATCGTACAAGTTTGGGTTCACTGTAGCTTCTTGCATGGGTTCAGGACCAGAGTACTTCTGCACCTCTCGAACAGCATCTAGAGCAGAACACAAAGATGACTATGGGTTATTGTCTCAGCAGAACTCTGATAACTGTCATTCGACTGCTTACCAACAAAAAGAACAATGAGAGCCATGATCATTGCAAAGAAAAATTTGTTCCAGTATGGAGATAACCAGCTCCATATTCTCCAGCCAAAAACCAAACGCCATCTGCAAAGAACACAGTGATCGTAATTCATCACAGATGACAGGGATGCTGTCTGCTGGGGACTTGCATGATAGTTTGATGTAAACACTGTAATTCTGAATAGAATGTGTCAAATGGACTTTCACACATTGTAATTATGTTATATCTGCTACTGTACCTCTGTGCTGATATGCAGGGGAAACACAGGAAGATGTTAATTAGTATCTCAGCATACAGGAAGAGGGCCACAGCTGTCCACTGGAGAGTCATTTTGATTTTCTGTGGGAATAATTAATTTAAATGTAAGTAGTAAAAGCAAAAACCAAAACTTTAACAGAAGAAAGCGAAAAGCTTTTATAACAACTGAGAAAGTTTGAAGTGTCAATGGTACATAATACACAAAGTAACAGATTGTTTCATATGTTCACTTGATTTTTGTGTTTCATATTTTCGTTAGTATGAATCTGAAAACTTGGTACCTGTAGTATTTACATTCTCCACTAGGGGACAGAAGATTTTGAGCAATGCACTGAGCCTATACAGTTGAGGCATTAGTGTGATGGCACATAAACTCTAAGTTTATATTAACAGCAATGAATATCATGTATTGAAATTTGATGTGTGTGGAAAAGTTTTTAAAATACTGAAGTGGAACAAGCCAGAAGACAGTTATGGAATCAGATACATTGGCCAGGGTGAAAAGCTAGCTTACCTTAATGACCCTGGGGCCAACAATGACTTAACAGAGCCAAGGAATGAGGGGTTGTACTCAAACTGTTATGAAATCCTGAGGAATTTTGTGACAGAGTCTGAAACTGTTCCCCTTTTAGGCTTTTGAGTGACCAAGATGCATGTATTTGCACCTAACCCCGAGAGGAGGTGTTTTAACTTGTTCAGATACTTTTAGTAAGTAAGTAAATTTTATTTTCTGTGGGGTACCCCAAGGC